TGAATGCATTTTCAAAAAAGCATTTTAATCCAAAAAGATCATGTTGAAAAGAACAAAAGGTAAAATAAGTGAGCTATGTAGAAGTTTCCCAGAAAGAGCAGGTAGCCTTTAAACTGCTAGACAGGAAATATATTTATATTATAATATTAAAACAATTTTATAATTATTTAAGAAAATAGTTCTTTAACTTAATTTGTTAAGAGAGCTTAAGGGTGGCAGGATCAATGATGATGATTATTTTATTTCAAGTCTTTAAGACTTTGAATATGAAATTTGAGGAATTTGAGTTCATATTTAGGTTATCCACTAAAATATATCATTTAAATCCTTCATGGAAATGAATGCAGTAAATAGTCTGTATAAAAAAGTTAAAAATAAACCTGTGCAAACAAGCTAACTTTTATAACCAGATTATTTAACAAAAGATGATTACTGCAGTAAAATATTTGTAGTCTTTTAGTAAGCAAGATGTGTGCAAGATAGAGAGGGTGTGAAAAGTGAATTGTTTGTTTTGAAACTTTTGAATCAGAATTTGTCCAATTATAAACCTGAAATACACGTGTCTGTTGTCATGTGGTGAACTCGGCCAATCGTGTAATATCGGTGTCGTCATCAGAGCTCCTGCAGTCGCTCTTCAGAAGCTGCACGGTCTGAGTCTGCCGTCTGATCTCGGAGCGCTGTCGTGGTACTTTGATGCCACATGTGACAGTCACGTGGTGTCGGCGCAGCATCAATCCCGACAAGATTTCTAACCAGCATGCACCGCTTTAAGACAGATTTCGATTGATCTGCACAGCGCTGCATGAAGTCGAACGCACCTATCCACTGCGTTAGGTGGAATGTGCGTGATGTACGCGGTAATTTTCAGTACTTGGATAACAAAATATACACCATATTTGTTTTTAAGTGCAATATATTGCACAAGATCAGGGGCTTTTGACAATACATCAGGGGCTTAAGCCCCCAAAGCCCCCACCCCCCCTCTCAACGCCACTGTGCCTCACAGCAAGAAGGTCTTTGATTGGAGTGACACATCATGGGTGTTTCCCAGTACTGGGTTGTGGCTGGAAGAGCATCCACTGCATAAAACATATGCCAGAACAGTTGGCAGTTCATTCCGCTGTGGTGACATCTGAAATAGAGACTAAGCTAAAGGAAAATTAATAAATAAATATTTATTTCATTAGAATGAAATTGTACAGATTGAATAGAACACAAAAAAATGTTTTATAAAATTCTTTATTGTGTGTTGTCATAGACCTGACTTATGTTATGACCAAGAATTAGGTTTATTAAGTCTAAACTCCCTGACTTCATCCCTATTTTCTGCTTCATACAAAAAATAAAAAATCTATCAGGTGATATGCTAGTCAAATAAGATCATCATCATATTAGTTAAACTTTAATTTTGTTGATTTGCAAAACTCACTGCGCACTGACACCTGTACATTAAAGGCTGTTACCCCTGCCATAAAACGCAGCCCGTCTAAAATTTGCATCTATTAACTTAAATTAATATTTTTTAATAACATCATTATGACACTAATTAGAGTGAACTCTTCCCTTACAGAAGATTACAGATTTGCTTTTAAATTTATTTGCAAACCTAGTTCATTTTAAATTGCATCTCACTTATTGTTTTTCCTTTATCCATCAAGATAATAATCAGATTACGTTTTAATAAATTATGGCTTTTTGTTTTCATTTAGACTGAGAATCCCAATGAAAGTCTATGAAACGCAGGCCTGGATTGAGAATTCAGAGGCCCCTGGGCACAATGTCTTGTAGGCCACCTGGCCACACCCCTATAGTGAATTAAAAAATAAGATTAATAAAATATTTTTAAATAAAATTATTCTATAATGTATTGCCCGCAGAAGTTATACACTAAAAATGTATATTTAAAAGTATTTTTAATGTATAACTTCTACAAACTTATAATGCATTATAACACCTCTTCAATTTAGATATGAATCGGAGTCTTCTATATAATACACAGACTTATTAATGATTCCTACCCAGCATGCAATAGCCGTCATTTCACCGGCTAGGTGAAGCATAGACCAGATCTAGCCCGGCTATGTGTAACCCATCTCTAGCCCAAAAGACTTAAATTTGCTTACCTGTCTTTTTTTGGCAAAATACTTTGTGATATGTTTGATATTCCTTTAAGTGAGTAAAGTCAATCGCATTTAAAGGTATGTTATTTTCATAGTCTAAGCATTGCCTTGAATTAGCTTGTCATCCAACCGGCTATTTATAGCCCACTGATAGGCCAATTTCACACTTCCGCATTCGTTACTTCCGGTTTTGACCGCCCCTGGGTAAACTTATTTCCGGTAAAAACAATGGCAGCGCAGTCGAGGAGCAAGGCGTTCTGCTGTGTACCAAAGTGCAGCAATTCAAAGCAAAAGCAACCATATATGAGTTTTCATGAGTTTCCCACTAACGACATGCAAAGACAAAAGTGGGTACATGCAATTAGACGAGACGAAGGGCCGAAGTTTGATATTCGAAGGGCAAGTACGTTAGTCTGCAGTCAACACTTCACTGCTGCTGACTTCATCCAGGGTAGTTGTCGTTTTAAACCTGGAGTTATTCCAAGTCACTTTCAGTGGAACAATTTTCATGTACAGCCACAAAAGCAGTCTGCTTTTGAGAGGTCAAGTGCTCGTCTAGGAGTAGATGTGCGTGCCCGAAAACTGTGGATCTGCAGAGTAACAATGACTCAGAAGTTATCGTCAAGGACCATGACTACACTGCATACCCCCCTCCTGGTAAGTATTTGTATTAAAGTGTAACTTAGATGCAAAATTACACACACTAGGGCTGCATGATTATCTCGATTAGGGTTGAAGTCAATTCATTAAGTACAATTCACCTAAAATGTCATTTCTGTCCTCATGTAATGATGTAATCAAATGATGTAATGATGTAAACCGCGAGGTCACACGTGAGCTGTCGCACTGTTTGTTTACATCAGAAAAGGACGCGCTTGCGTGCAGTGAACAGAACCTGTTAATTAAGGGAAATTAAGGGAAGGCAATAGTTTTAAAATAATGCTCAGTTTGTTGCACAAGGCGACAACTTTGCTCCTTAATCAGGATATGATTTGCATGTATGTTTTGTTTCTCACAGTCGAGGCACATTACATGGTTTAACAGTGTTTATATATATATATATATATATATATATATATATATATATATATATATATATATATATATAAAGCTGCCATAAAGATTTAAATTCATTAACCCTATAATTCATCAACTATACAGTTCTTAACTATAAATCAGCACTGATTTGATTTCAGCTTAATGAATGCGCAGTTTTAGAGCTGCTTTATAAATGTATTAAGGTGTTTGCAACTCTAAATTCACTATTTATTTTTGTAAAGGTTCTTTGGAAAAAAACGTTGTATAAAGTGCTACAAAATTAAGTAACTTGAGTAGTTTAATGTTTTTACTTCGATTTTTTTTTTTATTCTTATCATTGATATTATTATTAAACCTTTGTAATTTGTCATTTTGTAGGTGCTTTGGATGAAGCCTTGGAATACATAGCAGAGCTGGAGGCTAGGCTAAATAAAATTTCTCTGGAGACACCAACTGTTTCAGTAGGTTTTGTGTGTCTGATCACACAATTTGCCACTACACCAGGTTTCCCTCACAGGAAGTATTCCAGGTTTTCTGGGAGTCTGTTTGTCCATCTGCCACAAACCTTATGTACTGGACAAAAGCACAAAGAATGGGTCGGGAAGCTTCCCCTACACCAAGTCCTGCATGCAAAATTCAGCTCATAGATGAACTGTTCATGTACTGCTGCCGCGTAGCTGCTGGCCTTAGGGAGAGAGTAATTGCTGACATCTTTGGCATAAGCATGGCCACAGTAAGCATGACAGTCATCACCTTGGCAAATTATCTTTATTTTGTTTTAGGCTCTGTTCTCATTTGGATGTCAAGGGAACAAATAAGCTCTTCCATGCCTGAGAAGTATAGTTCATTCAGTCCAAATGTCAGAGTAATCCTGGACTGTACAGAAATTTTCTGTGAGAGTCCCACATCTCTGACACTCCACTCAGAGATATTCTCTAACTACAAGAGCACCACAACATTTAAAGGACTCTTGGGAGTGGCTCCATGTGGTGCAGTAACATTCATCTCTCGTCTGTACACTGGCTCAATCTCTGACAAAGAGATTACAAGGAGGTCTGGCATCTTGAGTCTTTTTGAACCTGGAGATAAGGTGATGGCTGACAAAGGCTTTACAATTGGGGACATGATCATCAATGTTGGTGCTACAATAATAATTCCACCGTTCAAGCGTGACCGGCAGTTCAGCAAGACAGACTGTCAAAAAACACAAACCATTGCACGGCTCAGAATTCTGGTGGAAAGAATAATACGACGAGTTAAAGAAAACCACATCTTCGATTCTGCTATACCACTAAGCTTGTCAGGAACAATTGACCTGATCTGGCATAACTGCTGCTTCATGGTAAATTACCAGGGACCAATGTTTTTGGAGCATTAAATGAGCCACATTTCTGCAACTTCTATGGCCTTTACCTTGAAGCCAGATTGTCTGGCTAGCCAGTTAATTTTCAGTTTAGTTTCAGTTTAACTATCCTGAAATGTGTAAAATAGTAGAAATCAAACCCATCTGAGTAATCCATATACAAAGAACGGAAACCATGACAACCACATAAAATTAACTCAGTGTTTGTTTAGATACATTTGAAGGATTCTGTGCTGATTTGTTACATTGTTCTGTTTGTTATTATTAAAATAGCTACAAGTGAATGTAATTTTATGATTTCCTCTTAACTTTAAAAAAAAAAAATATTACAATATATTTCCCCCTCTGTGCTCAGAGGCAGATTTGTTACTTTTATCAAGCAAAAACGAGCAGTCTCCTGAAAATAACAAGGACAGTTTGCATAAACATTTTTTTTTTTAATAATTGCTATTGGTCAAAATAAACATATCAAACAGTTGTTCTGTTGTCCAGTTGTTATTTGACACATTTTATTGTTAGTTTCAGATATAATACAGAATTGTAAACCTGAACTGATACAACATGAAATTTTAACAATTATAATAGTAGTTTAAAAATAGACAAAGTTGTAAAACAATATAAAATAAATTACTCTACATATATACATACCGTGGTAGCAATTTTAAAGGGTTAGCTCACAAGTGCAAGTATCAAGGTGAGTAATTAATACTATAAATTTTGTGTGAATTAACCTTTTACTACAGCAATGTTTAAACCATAGATAGATACTTGTCCATATATACATAATAGTAATAAATGTCCAACTTCTCCTTCATTGATGTTATAAAGACATCATCTCGCCAGATCCTCTGAATGGTTATGTCTGACTGTGTGTCAGTCACAAAGTCACACCACTGCAGACCAGTTACGGCAAGCTGGCCTTGAACCTGCCAATAGTATTTGTGTATTTCTTTGAGTTTGGCTTGGCCCTTTTGCATTTTAATAAATGAAGCCTGGCCTATACTTTCAGCAGATGTACTTCCACTAGACCAAATGGGAAGATTTCAGATGGATCATATACTCTCCCATCTGGACTGGCTCCTAGATGTGGTGCATCTGGGTGAACAACAAAGCCACAAGGTAAAACCGTAACCCTCTTTGTTTCAGAATATTGTTTCAAAATTTCTGGTTCAAGTTCAAGTCTACGTTTCCTAGGACTTGTCTGCTTTGTGCCTTTTAGTATACGTGCTGCTAATGACTGGCTAGCAGATTCACCAACCACATAGCAGACTTCTCTAAACCTGCTTGCGGTGACTCTTGGTTGACGCACATGTGCCCAGGCGGCAAAATTTGACTGTAGTCGAGTATTGTGCTCAATCTGACCGGATAAGACATGTGACACTTGTATTGACTGCAAATGAAAAGATTGGTGGTGAGTGGGAACAAAATTTAGGTTTGTACTAAACTGACTGCCACACACTGGCAGGTTGGGGAAATCAACTGTAGGTTGATCAGCAGCTGTGAGAGGATAGTGGTACGAAAGAGGACTGCTCCGGGGTAATAGACCAAACTGCGAGCTGACCAACTCCATTTCTGACATGCCTCCAAGTATATGAGCCAACAAAGGTTTTGGGTCAATCTGGTTTAGTTTTGCTCCAGAAGCCAGGATGTGTGGATCTGGAAGTGGACCTAAAGAAATAAATGCTTGTTAGTGTTAACTTATAACATATGAAACAAATTTCTAAATGGAGTCTGTCAGTGTGTATGTAACTTTATGATGAAATACATCTGTCAGCCTCTCTCTGTTCTTTTTGTAAATAATGTATGTGAATCTATATTTAGATGTGTGTCTGTACATTTCTATGTGTGGGTATGTCTTCTGTGTGTATATATATATATATATATATATGATGTTTGTATATTGATATACATGTATGTGTTTCTGTTTGTCAAGAGTATGGATACATTTTGCATACACACAGTTTATTATTACCTGTGTGAGCTTTGTACAGCGTAGACTTTACTCCTGTCTTCCCTAAAGAACATGGTTTCTGAACTAAGTTGACTCATTGCCTCTGGACTGACACCCTTAATATAAACAAAAAATGTGTCAACCAGGAATATTTGCAAATGCTGAAAAACGGGAAACATTACACTTACCTGTGTCCTTGGATGATGCCATCTCTGTTGTTCACTTGTGCAAGCCACTGTTGGTGGGACAGATTTTAGATGAAGCTGCATATATATATTTTGTATTGTTAATGTTGCTTTGTTAAATTAGTTTGAATAGATTGTATTTTTGAGAACCTGTTAATTAAAAATGTTGATATGTATATGTGTATTTTGTTGTTTATTAAATGTATAAACATTCATTCATTCATTAGCTGAAATTTTGGTTACTTGTTTATGTTTGGGCTGTACTTAGACGTCTATAAGATTTTCTCTGACAGCCCAAATTTAACCATTATTTAGCCAAGACCAAAATTCACCGGCTATTAGAGGTATGCATGTAGTCGTTGAAAAGGCGTCTAAATCATGTCTAGTCTAATCTTGGGCTACGGTTAGACGTCTATTAGATTTTCACTGACAGCCCAAATTTAGCCGTGATTTTAGCCTACACCAAATTTCACCGGCTATTAGACGTATATATGTAGCCGTTTATTAGCCATCTAAATCATGTCTAGTGTAAACTTGGGCTATGCTTAGACGTCTATTAGATTTTCACTGACAGCCCAAATTTAGCCGTGATGTTTAGACTTTTTGTCTTTTGGACAAAAAATGCTTGCTCGGTACTTGTCTTCCTCGTGATGAAGAGTGTGCAAAATCTGATATGGGAAAAAAAGAAGAACGTGTTTATCAGAAGATGTATTCAAACCGGTTTCATAATCCATCGCGTCAAAACATGATGCTGTGTGCCAAACAAGCTGCACCACTTACCCCGCTGTTTTAGAGGTGCATTTCTCGGCACAACATGAGCAGCGCCTATTTTGTCCGGCATGCATGCATTTCCACACCCGGGATTCATACCAGGAGCGGCAACGCGACAGTCTGTCTTGCTGAACTGCCGGTCACGCTTGAACGGTGGAATTATTATTGTAGCACCAACATTGATGATCATGTCCCCAATTGTAAAGCCTTTGTCAGCCATCACCTTATCTCCAGGTTCAAAAAGACTCAAGATGCCAGTGCATCAGCGTCAAGCAGAAGCGGTGCGAGAGGCGCGCAGGTGTCAGTTTGTTTTTGATTACATTGCGTTCACCAGCGTTTGATCGGTTGCACATAGTCAGAATAACATCTTTATAAAACGATAAAGTCTTTAACACCGTCTTTATTATAAAGGGAAAAGATATTCATGGGGATGATTTTTCTGCGTGAGAAAATGGATGTGTGGCGTGAGAGCGTGAGAATACGGTCAATTGCGTGACTCTCACGCCGAATGCGTGAGAGTTGGCAACCCTGCCCTTGGCTAAGGATTGTAATGAGTGTTTAGCACAGCCACTAGCTCATTATACGTTTTGTCTCCTGGCTTTGTGGGGCAGCGCAAACTTCTTAATAAACTATATGTAGATGCACCAACCTTAACTAACAGCACTGCTTTTTTTCTCAGCTGTCAAATCCATTTGTTTGGAAAAAATAATCAAGCATTTCAATATATTCATCCCATAGCTGTGTTGCACTATCAGAAGAACTCACTGTCCCTTTTAACAAAGTTATTTGAAATATTATGAAATATTCTGGGATGCAGTAGAATATGGAGACAGATAAACATAGTTAAAGACTTTACTAACAGATGCGGGACTTTATGACAGGAAGTGAACCTAGCTAGAACAACAACACACTGCTCTGATGACCGCCCAGTTGTAATCGTCTTACCCAATATCGCCCTCTAGTGGTTACACTTTTAAATAACGTTACTTACTACTTCACTACAAGTAAGAACTTTCTCAATGCTTATTTGATGTATTTGTTGTGGAGGTAAAGCTGTAGTAAACGAGAGAGTAATTGACAGCTGACAAACTCAGTATCAACATGACCTGTTTTCAGTAAGAACAGAGTGGCCTTGCACCCATGAAAAGAAAGATTGTTTTTGAAAGTGCTTCTGTTAAAAATGCAGACTCAAAACGGTTCTACTGTAAATCCTGAATCATTATTGGAGTTACTTTTGCATGCTGGAGGGATATAACCTTATGCAGTTCAAAACCATAATCTGAAGGATGACACCATGGCTAAAGTATTACTTTTAGACAGGAATGTTTTAAAACTATTTTAGTCAGTCAAAGCTTTTATAGATTGTGTTCTTTTTTTTTTGAATGAGCTCAGAGATGTTTTTCAGCTACTGAAAACATCCGTTGAAAGACTGACTCTTTTCAAGTTCATAGAGTATCTTATACAGCATCGTTAATATAGTCTGATTTTTATTTTGTTGAATAACAAAGTAATAAATAGTGCTCTTCCAATTAACCAGCTTTACTGAGGTGAAGTTTTTGAACAGTGGCAACTTGTGACACGTATATTTGGTCTGAAATAGCATGTAGTTACAGTATGACTTAAAAACAACTTTAATATTATTTTATTGACTTTTTTTATAGTCATTGGCTAATTATGTTTTCACTATTTAGAATTTGAAAACAATAGTTTTTTTAAATTATATTAATAAGGAGAAAGTCAGAGTGTGAATATAAATCCAACTTTACCCCAGTGCCAGTTTTGGGGAAATGTAATTCCAGCACTCCGCTGGCTTGTCAACAACTATGCTGGACAAAGTGCACGTCTTCATAGAGTTTTCTAACTGGTGAATGACATGATCTAATGTCACATAAGATTGTCTATGGTCATCTATTTGGTGCGGAGACATGGCTTCAGGAGACATGGCTTTGAATGGCAGAAGAAGGAAGTGCATTTTTTAAAGCCATTATGTTAACATTAGAATTTTGGCAGATCACCTACTACACCTTTAAGATCATTTAATGGAACCTTAAAGAACAGAAGCTCCCTTTTATAGAGGGAAACCATAAGCACAACATTGTAACCACATGAGGGTAAAAATAAAGAACTCTGTGACTCACAGACTTATTTCAGTAAATAATGATGTTTATTAAATGCATTCTTCAATTTTATGTAAAAGGATAGAAATTTTTCTACCTGACCTACACCAGGTGTCTTTCTACCATTGAATTAATTTCTTTAATAGCATTGTCCTAAATGTGGTTGTACATTAAATTACCATTGTTTCTAAACTGGTAGGATAAGATTTTAAAGTTTTTTCTGTAATACACTACTAGATTCACATTTTTTCTTGCTTGAGCTTTTAGATCATATGTGAACTTTGCATAATGGTTAATTATTAATATTATTCAAACAGTAATGAACTTTGCTGTCAGTTTGGAAATCACTTGGCAGTTGTTGTAATATATACTTCTATTTTTATTGAGAAACATTTAATAATATATATAAACCACAAAGTGATATATGATATTTTACAATCATATATGATTACCATTATTCTACATTAATCAGAGCATTACTTATATCTTATCCTATCAGTTTTGTAACAATGGTAATTTCATTTAGGACCACATTTAAGACATTTGTATATTCACAGAGAGAGCACAAATTATATGCTTTTTTTTTTTTTTTTTTACACATAGAAGAATATTGCATAATTTAAAAACCAATTATTTATTAACAGTATGTTTAATAATTAAAGAAAAAGTACAGTTAATGTTGTTAATGTACCTTATTTATTGTTATTAAAATATTTTTCAGTTGCACACAGAAAAATGTTATGCTATATTTTTACTTTATCAAACTTCAATATAATTTATATATAAAGTCTAGCATTATAGGAGGATTAACTTTTTGTTTTGCAATTAAAGAAAGAATGAAGACAAATTTTGTGTGTGTGTGTGTGTGTTTTTTTTTTTTTTTTTTTTTACATGTTTTTGTTATTTTCACAGCAAGCATTTTTTTTTGTTTTTAACAGATGTATAATAGATGTCTAAACATAGTCATCTTGGCTAAAACAAAGCTAAATTTGCATTGTCAAAGAAAATCTAATAGACGAATAGGCCAAAACTAGACATAATTCATTCATTCACTTTCTCTTAGGCTTAGTCCCTTTATTAATCTGGGGTAACCACAGCCAATCGCCAACTTATCCAGCACATGTTTCACGCAGTGGATGCCCTTCCAGTTGCAATCTATCTCTGGGAAACATCCATACACACTCATTCACACTCATACACTACGGACAATTTAGCCTACCCAAATCACCTGTACCGCATGTCTTTGGACTGTGGGGGAAACCGGAGCACCTGGAGGAAATCCACATGAATGCAGGGAGAACATGCCAACTACACACAGAAACTCCAACTGACCCAGCCGAGGCTCAAACCAGCGACCTTCTTGCTGTGAATCGACAGCACTACCTACTGCACCCCCCCGACTAGTCATAAAATAAACAGAAATTAATAACTACACATATAAAGTCTGTCTGATCTGTCTATTTGACGTCCATTATGTCCAGCTGTAGATTAGATTTTCACTGACAGCCCAAGTTTAGTCTTGTTTTAGCCAAGCCGTCTACGTTTAGATGTTTATTAGATGTCTATTACAGTTGTTTACAATTGCTATGACACTTTTGTCAATACATTTAACAAGTTTCCTAAACTCTTAACACGGCTAGCACAACATCCGTCTTCGTGGGCTATACAATTATCACATTTCTTGTTGCTTTGACACAAAATACATCCAGTTAACACAAATTTAAAATGCTTGAACTTATTTTACAAATAAACTCAACCAAAACCAAAACAATGTAATTTCACAGTCCAATTTACCAATGCTTTCACACAGTATGTCAGAACAGATAACATCATGTTCTAAACAGAACCTGTATAGGCTAAAGCCACAGTAAACAGCTGTTCATATTGTCAGTTGAAACACAAATCTATTCCCTGTATATATAGATACAGAGTTCTGTAATGTGCTCACTGTTCCTTTCAAAAACCTCATGAGTCCTCTTTTTGAACATACAGTATGATCATGTGATTTAAAAAACCACAACACATGAGTGTGTTTCTAGATGGGAATCCGCTGTCATATGTCATATATATATACACACACACACACACAAACACACACACACACACACATACATATATACATGTGTATGTATATATATATATATATATATATATATATATATATATATGACAGCTCCCATCTCCCATATGAACATGATTCCCATCTAGAAAGCACACTCCTGTGTTGAGATTTTTCAAATCACATGTTCATACTGTATGTTCTAAAAAAAGACTCATGAGGTTTTTGAAAGGAACAGTGAGCACATTGCAAAACTCCGTCACCAATACGTCCAGATAAGGTTATGGAATACAGTCATTACTTTACTATGCACAGTGTGTTTTGCAGTAACCTACTCTATAAACATGGCGTTCATTAGTACATACATTAGTTATAGCAGGGGTTTTCAAACTTTTTCAGCTGAGGGCCCCTTTGTGTAGGGCAAATTCTTTTGGGGACCCCCAAAAATAAAAATGACGCCACCCCCTCAAATTAACAACTGTACTTAATTTTTTTTTATTGTATTATTCAATACATTTATATTATTATATATTATTCAATAAATTTATATTATTCATTATCTGGATTAATTTTTGTAAGATGTTAGTTGAGTTGACATGGTTTTAGTGCTTCAATCTATTGATCAAATCTTGATGCGCAGTACTCATTGTGGTCTGCTTTCACTGGATTATTCCATCAAGCCATATTTTGTGTACAAGTCGTCACTTTACACAGTTTTTATGCCATTTTTATGCTTTTTTTCAGCATATGCACAGCTAGACTCTTCTGTATTTACCCTTACAGCTGAGAGTCTAAATGTATCTAAAGATTTAAAGCTTTAAAGTTTTAAAGAGTTTTGTCATTCATCAGCCTGTTAACAGTTAACTGTGCTGTTGTAACTAGCAATACTACAATGGAGGCTGTGTGTTGTGTTTATTTTTATTCCTTTTTTTTGTGCACATCATAATTTACTCAGGTCGACAATCCTGACTTACACTGATAAAAAAATAATTTCCTAAATGCAATCTAGAATTGGGTATTCAAGTTCAAAGAGCCACAAGTTTTACTTTGCATAATTTTAGAAGCTTTGCTGACTTTAAAATGTTCATACCAGTTTGTTCTATTAATAATAATACTGAACATTACATTTTAATTAGTTACACAAACAAATATGGGAAAAAGTGGAACAAAAATGCATTTATATTCAGAGTATTAAAATTTTATCAGGTATGTTGAGCTCCATTAAATACAGAGCACTAATACATTTTAATATTTAATAATTATTAGCCCTATAACATAACACAAACAGATACATTATAATTTTTAAAGGCTATGGTGGTTTTACTCAGTGTGTATACAATTTAGTTTTTTTAATCATCCAGTTATGAACCAATGTGAGTAAGAGGTCCACTGCAGAGCTCATCCAGCTGTCATTAGTGTAACAGGAGTGAAACTGAGAACTCGCTGATGTGATGACAGCTCCATTCATTGTTATTGCAGCACTTTTTGCTTTACAATTTTAATATGTTTGTTTGCCATGCTGCAAATAGGACCGTCTGATATTTGTACAATGCAAAGTGTAAAAGCCTGTCGCGCTGTGGACGAGGTGCAATGTTGTGCCGTGTCTTTAAAATGCTATTTGTTCTCTATGAGTGAAGCCTGCGCAGAGAGGCGCGTACTCCGCAGCACCTCGGTTACTTAGGAACGCAAGCCATAAACAGGGAAGTGCTTTCAGCCTCCGATAATGTTCTTATTGATCATGTATTTTAACTGAAATATAGTCAGTCAAACCTGAGCATTCATTTAGTTGTTTAGCGTAAAAGAGGTAAGCGTAAGTGAAAGGTAAACGCCGTCAGGTGCAGCAGACAAGCGCCAAAAATCACAGTCAGGAAGCGCCTGGCCAGAAGCGCTTATTAAATAAAAGTCCCCGTCCACGGAGGCGGGCCGCTGCGCTTCTTTTCCTGTGTCACGAAAGTGTCAACTGCATTTAAATGACATAAGCATAAAGCTTCATTTTTGCAGTACTTTTGAGCTCAAATTATAATAAAAATATATTAACCTTCAGAATGATGCGGGACACAAAATTCATCCATGTGGGCTCACTGATCTAAAATTTCTTTGCGGCCCCCCTAGCGCCATCTGGCGGCCCCACAGGGGGCCGCGGACCCCAATTTGAAAACCCCTGAGTTATAGTACAGTGAACCATTTACATTGTGTCTAATTACTTTTAGAGAGTCATGAAATTGGAGGTCAATCAAGTCCCACATGAAATTATCTATGTTGACGAGACTGGCTTCAACTTGGTGAAAAGGCGTCGCCGTACGAGAAACATAATAGGCCATAGGGCCATCATTACCATGCCGGGCCAGAGAAGAAGTCGGGCAAATGCAGAAGACCAGGCAGTATAGAAAATTATTTAGTTTTTTATTATACGTAATTGCGTTTCTTTTTCTGTTTGTGTATCTTGCAGTGATGTCCTTTTCCAAATAAAGACTGTACTGCAGCAATTCTGTGTCTGTATTTTTTTACATCAACTGTAAATTTAACAAAGCAATTTTTTTCTTTATTTTTGTATTGAACTTTTGCAGTAAAATAAAGAAAATGCCTGCCTTTACTAAACCCAACAAAATGAAAATGTAGAGAGTCTTGAAATAAAAGGGCAAAGCTGACACAAACTAATGCAGTTTCTGTAAATTTAACTGATGATAGTGTTTTTATTGTCAGTGTTTTCTGATTGACTGAATGTTTCTGTTGGAAGAGAACATGTGTTTGTGTTTTGAACAATTATGTCATTTTGAAACGTTTGTAGTGTTTTGTTAGACAGTGTAGTGTGTTCGTTTATTATTGTATTTTGAAAAGTAGTTTAGAGGTTTAGTTTACAATGTGGGATTTTGAGCATAAAATTAACTGTTTTGTCAATTGTGTGTTTTAGGTGTGTTGGTGCGTTAAGAGTTTAGCAAACTTGTTAAATGTATTGAAAAAAACTGTCATAGCCATTGTAAAAAACTGTAAACACAAAATGGTTTGCTGGGTTTTGAATCTTTCTAATTATCTAATTTTTATTTCTTTTCATTAAAACAACAGATTGTAAATAAGCAAGTTTAAAGGATTAATGTCCTGAAAATTAATCATTATTTAATGAATATCCTTATGACCTTTTTTGTGGTAGACATTTTGTATTGGGACCTCTGAGCAACCTTTTTAAACTGGTGCAAAAGTGTTGCTATTTGATTTGATATAAAAAGCAACTGAGATGCATCCATTCTGGGGGACTTCTATTCTCTGTAAAAATTTTCTATTTCATTGTGATACATCTGCAAAACCACTGGCCGGCGTAGCTTCATTGTAGGACCTGAAAAGAAATTTAGTTTTTGTCATCTCTTGTAATTCAAAATTGCTGAGATCTATGAGAAAAAAAATTAATACTTTTTTAATCTCCCTGTTTAAAAAAAGGTCAAATTGGGTCAATGCTTAAGTGTTGCACCACCCACCTAGTTCTCCTCCAGCAACTGAGAAATCTTTATCTAATATGGTCCATTTTTGTATACGCTGAGCATTTGAGGTTGCTTTGGAATTGACCTGTCCAATACCATCTTCAATGGACTTGTAAACTAACTTGTCTTTTCCTCCAGTGATATCTGACAATTTTGTTGATTGGCTACCAATCCGCTGACAGAATTCTACAGCCTCCAAGCTAAGAATGTCAGTGGGCTCAGTGGTCTCTGGATTGACTGTACACTAAGAAAGGAAGGGAAAAAAATTGACCTAAGTGGTTTTGGAAGTGTTAAAGCAAGAACTTTTTTAAAGCATAATATACCTTTAGTGTTAGCAGCATGGACAAAAATTTCCTTTCGTCACCAATTAGCATGGCGTTGCTAATGATTGACAACTCCTGTTTCACAGCATCCTCAATGGGTAGTGGTGGAATATTTTCTCCTCCGGCAGTAATAATGAGTTCTGAATGTAAAGACATTTCATGGTCATTGAAAGGTACTCTTTTACAGTTTTTTACAATTGCTATGACTCTTTTTTCAATACATTTAACAAGTTTCCTAAACTCTTAACACGGTTAGCACAACATCCGTCTCCGTGGGCTATACAATTTACACATTTCTTGTTGCTTTGACACAAAATGCATCCAGTTAACACAAATTTAAAATGCTTGAACTTCTTTTACACACAAACTCTACCAAAACCAAAACAATGTAATTTTACCGTCCAATTTACCAATGCTTTCACACAGTATGTCAGAACAGATAACATCATGTTCTAAACAGAACCTATACAGGCTAAAGCCAAAGTAAACAGCTGTACATATTGTCAATTGAAACACAAATATATTCCCTGTATATATATATATATATATATATATATATATATATATATATATATATATATATATATATATATATATATATATATATTTATTTATATGACCGCTCCCATCTCCCGTATGTACATGATTCCCATCTAGAAAGCACACTCATGTGTTGAGATTTTTCAAATCACATGATCATACTGCATGTTCTAAAAAAGGACTCATGAGGTTTTTGAAAGGAACAATGAGCACATTGCAGAACTCTGTCACCAATACGTCCAGATAAAGTTATGCAATACAGTTATTACTTTATGCACAGTGTGTTTTGCAGTAAATGACTCTATAAACCTGGCATTCATTAGTACATACATTAGCTGTAGTACAGTGAACCATTTACACTGTGTCTAATTACTTTTAGAGAGTCATGAAGTTGGAGGTCAATCAAGTCCCACATAAAATTATCTATGTTGACGAGACTGGCTTCAACTTGGTGAAAAGGCATCGCCGTAGGAGAAACATAATAGGCCAAAGGGCCATCGTTACCATGCCGGGCTAGAGAAGAAGTCGGGCAAATGCAGAAGACCAGGCAGAATAGAAAATTACTTTGTTTTTTTTTATTATAATTGCGATGGTTTTTCTGTTTGTATATCTTGCAGTGATGTCCTTTTGCAAATAAAGTCTGTACTGCAGCAATTCTGTGTCTGTATTTTTTTACATCAACTGTAAATTTTATAAAGCAATTTATTACTTCATTTTTGTATTGAATTTTTGCAGTAAAAGAAAGAAAATGCCTGCATTTACTAAACCAACAAAATTAAAATGTAAAGAGTCTTAAAATATAAGGACAGAGCTGACACATAAACTAATGCAGTTTCTGTAATTTTAGCTGATGCTAGTGTTTTTATTGTCAGTGTTTTCTGATTGACTGAATGTTTCTGTTGAAAGAGAACATGTTTTAGTGTTTTGAACCATTATGTCATTTTGGAACATGTTTGTAGTGTTTTGTTAGACATAGTGTAGTGTGTTAGTTTATTTTTGTATTTTGAAAAGACGTTTAGAAGTTTAGTTTACAATGTGTGATTTTGAGCAGGAAATTAACTGTTTTGCCAATTGTGTGTTTTAGGTGTGTTGCTGCGTTAGGAGTTTAGCAAACCTGTTAAATGTATTGAAAAAACTGTCATAGCCATTGTAAAAAACTGTAAGCTGACTTGAATCAAATTAAGCAATCAGCTAGCAATAGAAGTGGGTAGTATGTTAAATGGCATACTTTACCTTTTATTCTTCCATTAATGTAAATAAATCCATCTTCATCTACCTTTCCCAGGTCTCCAGAGCGGAGCCATCCATCTTCATCCAAAGCCTCCTTTGTTTTATCCTCCAGGTTAAGAAAACCCATGAAGACATTGCGGCCCCAGAAACATACTTCACCAGATCCATCAGCATTTATGTTTATTAGTTTGTACTGGCAGCCTGGAACCACTTTACCACAGCTAGAAGGTTTAAGGAATTGTTACAAAGTGATCCTGTAGAATATTGACTTTTCAAATTGAAAGTGATCAACCTGTAAGTTGAGGTAATAGGTCTTGCCTTAGAAACTGGTAAGCTTCTGGTCCAGACATAAAATGGGGTCCTGAGGTTTCACTCATTCCATAGGCTTCATAAAGCCGAATGTTAAGGCCAAGAAAAAATTGAAGGGTTTCCCTTCCAATAGGTGCTGCACCTGAAAAGAACTTCACACAACTGGAGAAACCAAGCTCGGCACGAAGCTTCTGCAAAATTAATTTTTCAGCAAGAGTAAAGAGAAAAGACTTCTCTTCATCCCTGATATAAAGACAAATAAAATAAAATTTAATTACAATAAATGTCCATAAATCCTGAATGCAGCATATAAAAAACAAAATGCTGTAAAACAACGGACATACTTTTTAAGCCTTTGATTAGCATCCAAGCTAACTGACATGGCCCAGGTTACCATTTTCCTTTTCATATATCCACACCTTGAAATGCCTTCTTTGATCTTTTCCATAATTTTCTCCCAAACACGGGGAACACCCATGTGGGCTGTGGGAGTCACCTCTCGTAGTGAGTCCACCAAAGTCCCCTAAAATTTACCATAAAATTTCATGTCAACATCAGATGAATGTATTTATATCCTTTGCAATATTTTATATTTGTAACTTCAGATAAACCATCAATACTGCCAACCATCACTAAGTAAAAAATTTGCCCAAGCAATACATTTTAACAAAATAAAGTTTGTAACCCTTCATAATGTGTGTTATGGTTGCTTAAACCAGTGACTGTCAATTTCAGTACTTACAAGTCACCTCTTTGCATATTTTGCATGTCTCTTTTATTCAAAACACCCAATTAATATAACCAAAGGTTCATGCAGAAATGTTCCAGTTGAGAGAGTCTCTAAAAAAAGTGTTAATTGCTTTCTACTTTCAGAGAAAATCATTATATATCTTGAGTAGGTTAATTCACAGATTTGCCCAATGCCACTGCGTGCAGCATCTACATACACAGATGACACTCATCCAATGTAACAACATATCTCAGTATAAATAATTGCATGTTAAAAATACATACTAAGTTTGACACGCAGTGCTTAAACTAGGTATTACATTCCTGGGTCAAAACCAATGCAAGAGCAGGTTGCCAGATTGAGTCTGACGATTGAGCCTAAAAGCTGATTTTAATTGTGTTCTAAATAATAGCTATGTCACGCAATAGAGAGAATATTTTCCATATTAAAAGGAGTTTTGTGCTAACTAACACCTCAAATTAATATATTAGAAATGGCTTCTACTATCTATCTTGCAGCTGAACAACAGGAAAACTGACAATGATCACCTCAGGTTAACCTCATGTGCTTTATTCAATGTTAAATGCTAATATTATGAGTTTGAATGCCATTTTACATGACATTTATTGCCATACTACTGAAAGCAGCAGCAGATAGTTTACCTCAGATCTTGAAAGTAAAATAAACTGTTTGAAATTGAACTTTAGAACTGTGACTCAAAACCAACACATAGGGCTCTATTTTGCCAATCCATGGGCAAAGTCCAAAGCACAGAGCGCAAATGCATTAAGGGCATGTCAGAATCCACTTTTGCTATTATAAGGATGGTAAAAATCCACTTTGCGCCATGGCGCATGGTCTTACAGGGTTGAGCTTATTCTCTTAATGAGTTATTGGTGTGCTTTGAGAATAAACCAATCAGAGTCTAATCTCCTATTGCCTTTAAGAGCCAGTCGCTCCGTGCCATAGTGCATTTGCTACTTACATGGCAGACTTTGTAAGTGGAAAAACTGAAAACTTCACTAGAGAGAAAACAGTTAAACAGTCCATCTAAAGCGCGAGAATGAGGGATGAGCCTCCTCATTGTTTACTTTCGCTTTCACTTTCGTGGATAGGCAAACGTGTTGTACGCACAGATATCCATAAGCCTATACATAATTAATTACGTTTGTTAAGCGCAAAGATTTGTTTCAAAACTGTTTCTATATTTAGTTATAATTTCCAGCAAACTAATAAATTAACAATAATAACGAAGTGTGTTCAAAAAACAGTTATATCCAAATACACATGATGTACCCCATATGGTCTAAAACCTGACAGGTGGATAAATCAAAGCTAGTTTTTAATAAAACAAATATAAATATGGATATAATAAATAATACTGCTAATAATGATAACATAATACAAGCAAATTGTAAATAAACTGAAAAAGCCCCCGAGATAAAATCATGAAAATTTTTAGATTTATATAGGCTAGAAAATAATAATTTTTGCAATATTTTAATCCTTTAATTCTTCTTCATTTGTAAAGATATTTGCGTATTGCTGTGCATCATGTGTAAGCGAGGCGCACAACTAACGCACTCTGCGCTGGACAATAGACCAGCTTTGATCTAATTTATTGAACAGACTATTTTAGTTCTTCAAAAAAGCATTGCATGAGCAATGCGCCTCAACACGGCTCTGTTTTTAGACCAGATTGCCCATGGGCGCACGTATGAGCGCAAATGCATTTGCTATTTAAACAGTGTGGTGCAAAAATGTCAAAACGACTCTTACGCCAAATTGAAACAAGCAAACAACAATTGCGTTGTGCCTTGCGCTCATAGTCCATAGTGATTCAGCATATTGTTAAAGAGGTTAAATGTGTACTAATTAGATTATAAACCTTACCATTGTGCAAATGAGTGCATATTCTCTGCTTCTGAATGGCTGTATTTCAATTTTTGTCATGTTTCGTCTGGTGCAAACAGCACAATTGCTTATCACTGCAAATCTCGCCACATAGCTTGTTGTTAGGACACGGAGTTACAATGTAACCTGCTCACCTAATGTTTACGTTCATAATACGTTTATATTATTTGCTAATTAACAACCTTATGTTATGTCTTATTTCGGAGTCTGCTACTGTCCACCAGGGGTCGCATTTGGGTTTTGGGTGCATGCTTTGACAGCCTGTCTATAAGAATAAGAGAAAATATGCAGTTTTCCACCAAGGCAACCCGGGGTGCTGAAATATAATTAGCTAAACTGGCATTGGGTGGGTTAAAAGAACCAAAACCGGCATGAAAAACACATTTGCATGTATATAGCAGAGTACAATGCCATTTGAATAAGATAAAAATGCTTAGCCTGGTTTCTCCTAAAGTTGGTTCTTCATTTTTGTCAATTGGTGGTGTAACATAACTGGTAACATATATATTGTAACATATATGTAGGAGGTAAACATTCCGTTCAACATTCCATGAAAACGGTCTGGTTTCAATTTCCAGGGCAATTTAGATCACTCGGTGACAAAGTCTGGCCTAAAAAAATACCTGCTGACAAGTAACGAGTTTGGGACGCTTCACAGAACGGTCCTAAACTACTCTCTGCCGACTTCAAAGGAACATGGCAGATAAGATAAGAGGAAAAACCCATCTAGCAGCCCTCTCCTCACAGAAGAAAAAGACATTCCTCTCCAATGTATTTTTTATTTAAACAAAGACATTTAGAACTCAAATCTCTTGTTTAATTACACTTAACTTTTGTAATGTGTACCATTTCTCATAGTTTATACAAATTCGTACTTTTAGGCCCTTTTTAGTTTAAATAAGGTAAGGATGTGAAAAATTATGTTGATGTACTCTTAAACCCCCCCATGTTTGGTAACGATGGGTTTCTGCTGACATTTTACAACACATGATGCAGAAAGCAAGATCATAACTCGCATTGCTTCCCTTCTTTAATCCCCTGCATTAAATGCCTCTCCGCATGCTTTGGGCAGACACTCAAATTTGCATACGAGCAGCCTCGAGACAAAGGAAGTTTCGCGCTCAAACTTTGTCCTGAAATCATTGGTCGAGAATGCTGAACGGGTTGTCACGTGACCCGCAGGTATAACCAGACTGATCCCCAAACATCTGGGCAGAGTAGTCCGGACAAAGAACTCGAAAAAGGTGGTCCCTTTAGGGGCCAGTGGCTTTTCTAAGCCGCATGGACTTTTCCCGCCACGCTTTTCTTATTTTTATGGCAAAGTAAACTCAGTTTAAAGTTTGCGAACGTGTTCGTCCGAACTGTATTACAAACTCAACCCATCAAGAAGGACATCAAAGGAGTTTCATTAGGAAGAGACCCACATAAAGAGAGAGACCTCCAGACATGTAAGTCCAGGTATTTTTAGTTATGCGAATAAGCTGTGCCCCTTTTATCAAAAAGGGGTTTTTATAATCTTGGTGATCCTTAATGGTGAATTTATTTTTTAAAATTTTTTTTTTAAATTTTACCTGAAATCTCAATTTCCTCGCTTTACTATTTCTCTTTGTTGTTACACGTTCTATAGACCCAATATCTCCACGTGGTTTAACTTTGTTCTATGTTAATTTATGTTTGTGCGTTTGTTCGTTATATGTCCGACTAGTCAATAAATTCCTTTATAATCAAATGAATTGTATTGTTTGCCTCACGAGAAATATCACTGAAATACAGATTCCCCTGCCTAGCTATTATAAGTTGTTTAAAACTTATGAATGATTATTCTACTTCACAAGAAGTAGCAATTAAATTCCCTTTTTCTAAATAAATAGATCATTACCGTGGCCGCTCGGAAGAGCGGCGGCTCTAGTTATGTTTGTTTGGTCAAGTTAACAATAAATTGATCCAGAATATTAATGGTTAATAATAATTCGTTATTGTTGATAATTAATATTCATAGTCTGAGAGTCCGCTCAGTCGAGCGGGCAGGATCAGACACGATCATATGTTTGTTTGACCAGATTGACTGAAGCTTAAGCCAGAATATTAATAATTAAGAATAAACCGTTATTGTTGATTATTAATATCTATAAAATGAGCCAGTTTCTGTTACAGTGGAGTTTCTATTTTGGTTTCTCTATTTTCTTTCATATATGTTAAGCTGCTTTGACACTGTAAAAAGCACTTTAGAAATAAAGATGACAAGACTTTATTTCACAAATATATTCTCATTGGAGATAAATAAATTCATTCTGCGCAGTGTTGATTTTTTCATTTAAAACCCTACATTTCAACATGCTCTACATGTTAACAAAATGTCATCAGATTATAAACAGCTATTAAAAGGGGAACCTCCCTACTCCCATTTTTGCAACCCAAACACATTCCAAAACCTCCAGATTAAAAAAAATATATTACAACTCAAAACTCACTCCAAAGGGTATATAATGTTTTTTTGCAACCTATATGTTTTGCAATCTATATATATATATTCCCTATAACAAAAGTAGTTAAAATATTATATGCATGTACAAATAGACCCCTTTCGGATGTTATATAATATAGAAATGCGCAGATTAAAAATGATGTGTGTTTAGAGTGTCATGGTTAGAATCGTTACGCTTCTCCTGCTGTTTTACAACAAATGATTCAGAATGCATGAAAAAACCTTATACGGCTTATACGGCTTGTATTAAAGTCCGTCCGACTTTGCAGGGTGGACTCTCATTATGTATATAAGTGGCCCAGAGACAAAGGAAATCTCCTGCTCAAACATTGCCCTGAAACCATGCCCGGATTGGCCAATCGGGAGGACCGGGAGAGTTCCCGGTGGGCCGGTC